CCTCTCCTAATGGTCAAATCAAAAACCAAAAACACCGGTCGATGCACCTTTGCTTCCTCTATCCAACTGTATGTATTTCACTCCTGTTTGAAAGAGGCTGATATACTCGGAAAAACCGGCAGGGTCCTTTATAACTTTGGCTTCATGTGGTGAAAGTTATGTTGTATTGTCATAGACCATTCTTATAATTTTATCAACAACAGGCATGTGCACCGATTTTGAAAAATGTTTGACAGCGACGTTTGAATTTCACTTGGTCGTCGTCGTCGGCTAACCACAAACTTTTCCGTTTGACGAGGGCGAGCGACGTGAGAGTAAAAAATTGCGAAATCGGCAGAAAAGATTTTCTTCGCTAAAGCTTTTATTATTAGCTGTCATGATCTGTCCAACCATCTGTCGTCACTTACAAGGAAATAATGACCAAGACTAGCTTAAGACTGCAGTGTGATTGAGAAAACAGCGGAAAACATGAATATGACGTTTCATAATTACAAGACACGAGGCGTTTTTTTTTATCCTGTCATTTTCAGCTTTCGGCGGCATCGATGAGTGGAAAGCCCGTCGGTGTTTCGGCGGCGTACATTGTCTAGTCAGGCATGTATGGTCATTAGAAAAAGTGTGCCGAAAAGTAAGGTGATTCTGACAAGAAACACAGTCGTACATTCTAAAAATTTTATGTAGCATATCCCGATGGCATGGAAGACTATCATTCGCAGCGAATTTAAGAACACCTACAGAAAAATATTAGACTAAGATACGTATGTGATGCAGGGAGGTGTAAAACAGTTGTCCGCAAGCGCCATTCTATTATTCTTCTTTATGTTATTGACATTTGGATTAAATTTACAGGTCTGGAAATTGATCGTAGTACGCTTCCGCATTGTTTGATTTTGCTTTACATATTTAGTTGGCTTTTACGTTTTACATATCCAGTAAGTATTTATAACCAAACGATAAACTCTCAATAGCCAAAAACAAAGAGTCATATGTTACTTTTGTGTTTTTTGAAGATCAGCATTGCTATTGATGTTTTTCAGACCTGCCATAGCTTGAAAAGGGATGCAAGGGTACTAAAGCATGACGAGGTCTTGAGCGCAATATAACCATTGGAAAACTCTTGGATCTTTTCTATGTCCATAAAATTTCATACTTTTCGCATTTGTTCTGAGTGAGTTGTAAGTTTTTGAAGATTCTGATTCAGCATATAAACCACTTTATTTCAAAGAAATTGGAGTTGGGCATCTGACGAGGTTCCCGCGTTAGAAAGACTATGATTTTCTGGTGTCCCACAATGACGTTATATGAAAGACTATTTTGCATGTACATAATTCGATCAGTTTCATGAGTCACATCAGATATAACGACAGTAAGACGGTCATACACTGTCTGAAAAAAACCATAATCGATCCATAAATGAAATATGGACTCGGATTGATCGCAAAATTCGCATTGTTTTCTTTTCTAATTTTGCCTACTCGTAAGCGAACAGGTAGTGCATAACTGACTAATTTAATCCGGACAATTTTTAAGCTCAAAACTGGAGATGGGTTATTTTTAAAACATGATATAATTTAATTTTAAGATGACAAACACCTATTTTCCTACAGAACGCATATACTTTGAAACTCTACTTTTCCTCTCCTAATGGTCTAATCAAAAACCAAAAACACCGGTCGATGCGCCTTTGCTTCTTCTATCCAACTGTATGTATTTCACTCCTGTTTGAAAGAGGCTGATATACTCGGAAAAACTGGTAGGGTTCTTTATCCCACGGTTTTTGAGATAATTAGTCCGTCGTGTATGGTCACGGTACACACAATTTTTATCTTACTTTTATTTTCTTGAATCTCAAACTATGTCCAGTCAGACACTTAAATCAAATTTCATGTTTTTTGTTTAAATACAATGCAAGGATATTTATGGCAATATATACAATAAAACAGCAACATTTAGAAACTATTTAATATATTCCAATTTGCTTCAGTTTAATCTCAATCATGATATCTTCGACTACATATTGAAATTCATTTAATTGACCATCATATTCAAGACTATCGATCATTTTACAAATTGCATTTCGATGACATCTTCGTACACACATAGAAAATAATTCAACATCTGTATTATCATCACTTGAATAAAAATATATTGGTTTTGAATGTGTCTGATCAATGATTACTTCTGTTAAACGCTCACGAAGTTCAATTTTATCGAACTCACATTCTGCTTGTTTCTTTTGCTCTTTTATGGATGGATTGAACAAGTGAGATTTCCAACGTAAATAAAGTTGATTTAAATAAACTGTTTTCGATTGTTCAGGTGACACATGCATATTATTCGTATTTGTATTATCCTTCAATTGAGATTTTAATCGAAATCGTTCACCAGTTTTTGCCGACAATGTTCGACGCAATTTTTTATATGGTGATTTAAATTCCTCTGAGTTTCTAAAATAGAGTGTTTCTTCATACATTGTCAGGTAACTAAAAAAGCTGAAACAGAGTTGAAATTAGACAAAAAATTTGGACACGCCAACGGTCTTTATCAATAACTAACCGATCATTTTCATCCTCTAATCGTTGGACAAAAGAATAGCTCTACTCACAGTTCAAGATAACATAAAAAAAAACATAGCCTTACCAATGTTTTCTATATTGTGCTTTTGTCTTTCGAATTGGTGTTTAATAAAATTTTTGTACAAAGGATATAGAGTTTAATTTTCTGTTATTCTTGAAAAGCTGTTCTGATTTATATTACGTTTCTTCATCATAAAACAAAACAACTTTGAAATAAGAAATTAATAATTAATTGTAATTTTTGTTTCTTCTGTTCTTTATCATAGTCATGTGTCGCATTGCACTTGTTATGGCCCTCTTTCATTCTCACACATATGCCCAAGAGATAAACACATCCCAAATCTTTCATGTACCATCAAACTTGTTAGAAAATGAAAAATATGCTGTATACACACGAAAACAATGATGGTATATCAAAGTTCAGTCCAGAGATTTACAAGTCACGTTAATCTCCGATTTACTAATACTTGATTGAAAATTCATTTTCTGCGTCAACTGAATAGTTAATAGTTTTTATCATTTATACCGGTGTTTGTTTTTAGCCCCAGCTAAATACAATACAGAATTCTGTACTTTCTTGTCATATAGAAAAGAGATTATTTTCATTCCTGTGCTAAATGGTCGCATAAATGTCCACTATGACTCACGATTACTGCTTAGTGATGCTTTGTTAGACTTGGGAATGAATGCAAGCATAGATCAACCATTCTGAATTTTGTAGCCATGTTTATTGTGTAATAAAACTGAAAAGACTTAGTGAAGATCTGTTTTGGAGGAAGCAAAATATTTTGGGCTTTTTGCCTATATGAATAGAAGGTGCACATATCGATCCACATCATTTGATAGTTCCAGAGTAGCATTGTAGCCAAGTGCCGCACGCCTATAACTGTGAAAGTTCTGAAAACAGCTCTTTGCAGCATTCGATTTTGAGAACAACCCCGAAGATCCCGAAGGTTTTCACTATTCTAGCTCGTCATCATATAAAGTACGTTAAAGCAGCTTCATTCCGACATCATCAAGCTACTCACACTACGCTGTTGTCATCTAATATTAAAGAATTCAGAGCTTATTCAAAAAATATCTCGTTTGACTCCATTTTGAAGAGCATAGTTTGAGCTGTCTATCCATGAAAAACAATGAAAATGTTTCTATTTGAAGTTTTTGAACGGTGATCTAGTTTTTCAAAAAATTCCGAGAAAAGCTATTTAAAAAACCACTTTTGAATGAAGGTTTCTCACAAAACAAGATCAAAGTCTCTTTTTCTGAATGGTGAAAAACTGAACTCTCTATCAGCTTTCGTTTTTGAGTTATTCAGAAAATGGTGAAGTTGATTTTTTTAACGAACAAAAGTAGTCAAGAGCCAGTTTCATCATAAAAAACTTAAGTTAAGATTTAACTTAACAAATTTTTTAATGAAACTGACGCCAGAAAGGAAAACTCACTAGTTTCTGGAGTGGCTCATTTTAGGGACGAATGAACATGCATCAAAATTCAATAGTTGTCAGTCTGTTGTGCAGAGAGAACTGAACATTTTTTATTGCAGGAGTTTGAGGCTGTTTTCGAAGCTGAGGTAGCAAGAAGGTTTTTTCGCAAAACCCCAGCGTTTCTCTTGCATTTGAATGGATGTATTCTTATTAGGAGCAGAATTTTGCTTACCGTTCTTGCTAGGTAATATGTACTTATTAAAAATGCATGGATCCAAACTCATACTACTGGCCATAACTCAATCAGTTTCAATTCAAAATAATTAATTTTCTCACCATTAGATTCGGCATACTTTTCTCCACTCAGATATGTAAAACTTTCTTAGAAATAATAAAATAGAGTAACAAAACGAAGTCAATTGAAAAGAGTCCGTTCTTATTAGGCACATGCACTC